CGCTGCCATGTGAGCCTGGCACGCACGCCACGACAAAATACGAAATAAATGAAATAAATCAAACAGCACTTTCTTCCCACCGAGTCCATGGCTGTTTATTACCTTCCTAGTGCCAAAATAATCGGCATCTGCTGAATACAAAAGTAATATTCACCTGAAATTGTATTCTTTTTACGGCTTCCTCAATCTCCTTGCAGCATAAACATCCTTTCTCTAGCTTGTTGCACTTCCCAGTTCGCACAACACTCGCATACACACCACGATGTATTTCCTCTTCGGCACTCATCTTGACTCTCGTGAACATCGTCTTCCTCCGACTCTGAACTGTCTCGCATAGGTTCAAAAGAATAAGGTTCGATCTCAGCCATAATGCAAGCTAAATGCAGGTTCGACTCAAGATCGATTGTTCACAAATTTTGTTGACATTAAAAAATATATGTGCGTGGTGACGACACAACATTCCTTTTATGGAAGTAACCGGAAGTAAAGATGTCTAAAATCATCGGCGAACGTTCAATTTTGAAAAATGACCACGGGTTTAGGACTCTTTTCGTCACTTTCGAAAGGCAAAATTCACGTTTTTTTGCTTTTTACTACAAATCTAAGCTATTTAATAGTTTTAAGCTCCCATATAAAATACGACTGCTAGTCTTCCGTTTTCCTTTAACAGCTGTAGAACTCCAGGTATTTCCTGTGAAAGTTTTCTTAAGCCTTGGTCAAACAGACTCGCAAGTAATTGCAAATAGCCACAAGTTGAACTTCCGTAGGGACTTGCGTTGGGTGGCCAAAAGGACTCGCAAGTTTCCTCGGAAGCATGTACACGCCAGCCGCAAGAAAAAGTCCATTTCAAGGCAATGGGCTTAGTGCCGCGCTGCAGTATCCTGTATTTCACTGGCTAAAAGGTTGCTATAGTAACGAATGGATTACATTCAACTTCTACTGACTTGGGTCGGGTGGCCAAACGGTAACTGAAAAATTTGTGTCTACTTCCGCGCAAATTTGATGTGGACCAAACATTCTGATTCAATCGGTGCAAAGTTATTTATATAGTTTTTATAGTATTTTATTATTTTAACACTTACATTTCAGCGCTTGCATTTACATATTTTATCGTTGGACATTCTCACGCCCTAATTTGTACTTATATATGTATTCGCTTTTTCTACAACTTGGAAATGATCTCAGGGCGATCGAAACGTCGGTGTTATCTCTAGTTTTTATTCTAAAATGTGTTTCGAAAAAAACTGCTTTTAAGAATCTTATGGGATGAGTACATTATATAATAGGAATTATGGGTTACGCCATTCCTGGGAACATGCCTGATGACGATATAAACAGGGCTAAATATTCTAGTAAATATGGAAAGTGTGCACTGATTCCTTGAGGAACCGTTCTTTTATGTCCTTCAAGTATATATCATCTCACGTGCTCTTTTTAAAACGGGTTCTTCAAGGTTGGCAAACCAAATGCTCCCAAACTGGTCCAAACTGATAAAGGCAGCAGGGGACTTAAGATTTGAGAAAAGTACGAGATCGAGTGCGAGAACGACTTCATAATTCTAGTTTGCAGGTTTCACATCATCAAATCACATATCCATCTCATCCCATGAGCTACCCTCTCTACCTAAAACCAACATGGACAGCGAGGACTCTGGAAATGTCACTGGTTTGAAATTCGAAAATCGTACTCAATCTGGTATTCGTAGTCAAATCTAAAGGTCTCTAGTGTTATATCATTCTCAGCGCGTCGACATTTTTCATTCCCTGGAAACAAATTTACCTCCTTCAAGAGTGGTGGTCTAAGGAGTTTCTCTAGCTGAGACACACTCATCTCCGTCTGATGCAACAAGGCACTGTCATCCATGTTGTTGCTCATGACCGCAAAGGACTCCGCTTTCTTCGCTGCCCACAATTTTCCTAAA